TGAATTCTTGTTACTGCAGTCTGTCACGGCAGGTGACGTTAAACACAGCTCCATTTCAACATAGTGACACTTCCTCTCTAATCAGATTTGCCAAATGTGGAGAAAGTAATGGAGATTTTGCAACTGCCAATACTGCTTTATTGCGACTGTCACACATCAGTTGCTATTCTTCACATTAAAAGGCCCCATATTATACAAAGACATTTGTTTTCATACCTGGTAGTTACCATCTCCATGGACATGGTTTTTGATAATTCACTGAGTGCTAGAGGACTAAATCCAAATCCATCACTATTAATGGGGACATTTCCACAAGCCCTCATGTTTCCCCCTAAAATTTTAATTTTAAGCTAGAATAGTAGCTTTCTTTGAAGAAATTTACCTGGAGCCAAGTTCACATATTGGGAAATGTTCCAATAAAAGGTAATAGAGATGGCTTTATTGTTAGACCGAAGTTAGATTCTTAACTTAATTCAACTCCAATTGACCTTAGAAAAATCTGCTATATTTTTCTATAAGATGGGAAAGTAATAATGTAATAACAAAACAAAACAAATGGCAATTTGATTGAAAAGGCAAGGAGGAAAAAATTGACAAAAGGAATTGAAAACTTTTATCAAATATCTTTAATGGAAGTAATGAAACTTGGTTCCAAGAGAAAAATTACCATGGAAAATATGGAAATGTTTGACTGATAAAATGTTTAAGTTACTGCTTAGCAATAAATTCAAATGATATTACTGCTAGAAGGAAAAGAAAAGGTGAATGGGGAAAATATAATAACCACTATGATAAAGTGTTATAATATCGTTCAGATAAAAAGAAACAATGATGAGAAAATACAACACTGAATAATTTCAAACAACCTTGCCTCAGAAAATTATGGATCTGCCCCTGTTTGGCCTACAGTTTAAATACTGTATTATTACAAATATTTTCTCAAACCTCTTGTTTTCCAAGTTAGCATTTTTCAAATGACTACTGCTACCTGCTTAAATGAATAATATTTTAAAGTCATTATTAGAGAAATATTGAGGGACAGTGGAAATTTTTACTTCTGGCAATTTAAAGTAAAGCAAGTACAGATATCTACTTCCATTCACTTTATACCCTTGACTCAGCTGCCAAGAAGCAAGGACTGAATGGATGGGTTTTTTATTTGTCTCAACCCATAACTTACAGAATTTTTCCTTGTTTAGAGAAAGATTGGGAATTAGAGGTGATTCACAGAATTCAGTCTTGTTTATGAAAAATCACAAGGTGTCCCATGGTATCTCATTGTGTGCAGAGATCACAGAGGAGCTTGCACAAGGAGAGCCCCAGGGATGTCCTGTTTGCATAATCTCTCAGGGCCTCATCTTTCAAGAATCCTCTCACAAAAAGATTCAGTTCAATCCTGGTCCTCAAAAAATATATGTTTAATTCATCTAAGACCATAATCTGAGTTTAAAATGGAGTCCAGCGAGAGCCCAGCTCATGCCCGTGTGTTAAGAGAGAGGACTGATCGTCACTGGGACCTAATACCAAACTCTGACCTGCAGCAGCGCAGGTCTCTGGATTTCACTCTCCTCTACCCCATGTGAGGTTCCCTCACCTGTGCTTCCTCATTTCTAGAGCACAATCAACCTAGGCGTCCAGGTAAGGAGGAAGGTAGGGAAAGGACCAGAATAAAAATGTTGAGTCTATTTGGGGATTAAGGCCATTATTATTTTTATAATCCACAGTCTAGATTTCTCAGTCTTAGAATGTTCCTACTGGGCTCCTCCTGAGGTGTCCTTGGTGTGCTGAAAGTTCAGAGAAACCAAAAGATCTATTGTCTCTCCAACCAGTCACCCCTTTTCAACTCCCAGAACTTCCTGTACTCGGACCTTTCATTCCTGTTACTGGCTATTCTCTTTCTCTTTCAGTCTCCCCTGCTCTGTTGGTGATACCCACCGGGGTCACAGGGCTTCACTAGGACACAAGAGAGAAATTCCTGCAATTTGCCTCCCACTGTGTATGGAGTGCTCAGTGAGTGCTAACATTGGGTGTGGACACTCCCTCCCCAACATCCTAGTATTCAGGTGCTTACCACCTTGCATACACTCCCTGGGGCTAAGATTGAAAAAAAACAGAATTGCACATTGAGGGTCTGTTCCTGTTTCCACTGGAAGAACAACAGTTTCCACCAATGCCTTCTCAACTATCCAGGTAGCCCAGGTGGTCTCAGTGCCTCACAGAATCTACAAAGCCAGACCATTATTAGCTGTGCCTTCCAGATTTCACGCTATGCATTAGATGATATAATTAGTGCTTTGGAGTCCTTAAGTGCACGTGTGTGTCACAGTGCCTGTGTATGAGGAGGACTCTGTTCCTTCCTGGATGCTTTCAATCATTTATTCATCAATTTGATCAGTCAGTGAACATTTCTCCAACATTTATTATTGATATATGCCAGGTGACCCAGACATATGGGTTGAAATAGGATTTCTACCTTGAAGATGCTTAGCAGGCGGACAGGGAGACACTTGCAAACAATCATGTATAATACATAACTTTAAAACATGTGTACAAAAGTCAATACTCAGCAAAAAGTCATGAAAATGCACAATTATTTCAGTATATACTTTTCATAATGAAGCAGTGAAAAAATGTACTTAAAGTTATTGGAAAATTATGTCAGTGATGTTATTCTGTTTGTTCTTTTTTTTTAAGATTTATTTATTTATGCATAGAAGAGCTGGGGTACAGGCCAGAGATGCCGGAGATGAGAGGACCCATCAGAGACAGAGCAGGGAACAGAACAGGCAGACTAACTGAAATACACTGCTGAGGGGAGCAGCGGGTGAGACAGGAGAGGTCTGCTGCACCATGTGGGTTTCTCCCTGGCCGACTGGGGATGGAACTGGTGCTGCAGAGGCTGCGGATTACTTCATAGTGTGGTGCTTAACCTCTTGCGCCACCAGGGAGGCCCCTATTCTGTTTGTTCTTAAGCTCTCTACGCGGAGAAATATTCTTCCATGGGTATAGGCACCTTGTTAATGACCCACAATAAGGCACTCAGTTTACACACTCACAATAACACACACACAATCACAATAAAGCACGCATACACATACATGTAAAACAAATTGAAGCAGGGCCTCCCCAGTGGTGCAGTGGTTGAGCGCTGGGTTGCGAGGCTGCCCGCAGCCTCTGCAGCGCTGGTTCAATACCCAGTCACCGGGTGAGGGGTCCCACATGGCATGCAGACCTCTCCTGCCGCACCTGCTGCTCCCTCCAGCAGTGAATTTCACAGGTCTGTCTGTTCTGCTCCCCGCTCTGGCTCTAGTGAATTCTCTCACCCTCCTGCGCTTCTGACTGTACCCAGTGCTTGTATAAATAAATAAATAAATCTTAAAAAAAAAAAAACTTTAAAAAAAAATTGAAGCAAATGTTTTCTGAAAACTATACTTAGTTACATGATTACAAGACCTGGTATTTTGTTTTCTAATTTAATTTTAATATAATTGGGTGAAACCCCATTATTTATTACCCACTGAGGTGTAATCTGACTGAGGTGTAATCTGACTGAAGGCTATTGATGTCTGAACATTTTTTTTAATTGCCCTCTTGTGTATTCTCTTTCACTGCATCAAAAAACAAGCTATTTCTCATTAAATTTTCCCAGTTCCCCAATTTGTTCTCTGACTTTGCCTTCCTGGTCCCTCAAAGCCCTTGGACCTTCCTCTATGTGAAAGCTGATCCCAGGTTCAAATCCAGTCTAGGGGAGAATCCATGAATAGACTTCGCTGTCACCCAGGGGTCTTGAAACCAGCTCAGGCTTGTCTTCTCGTAGCCAGTGATGAGCCACACAGAACCGACCACATTTCCCTCTGCTGCCAGCTACACACACATCCTTGTGTGTGAAAACCAGGCTGACAGGTGTGCCGTCCCTGCCCTCCCTCGACTTCAGGTGGTGCTGCCATGGGCTCCCCTTCTGCTCTGACTCTCTATCCTCTGGGCAGTCCCAGGACTAGTACTATTTCTTTCTCGGTGATGTTATCCAGCCATTGCCCTGGACCTTACTACCCTCCCATCTCTATCTAGTCTCCACAGTAGCTTGTTTCCAGCCATGTTATTACATGCTTGTTCTTAATGTGCAACAACATGTAGGCATCGAATGGTGTGCCTGCTAGCTTTAGAGCATTTGACCCGTGCCGTATTTCTTACTGACATACCTAGCCTACTGATTGTATATTGTGATACAAACTGAAGCATGAATATGCACAATGCCATGATGTCAGCTAGGACATTTGTATCTATACAGACAGCTATTGCAGCTGCATTCAGTCTCCAGGAAAGGCCCTCCTGTTACCATAGTGTGTAGTGCTTCCTAAGTCTATGGTTATCTCTGCCTTCTTGGTTCTGTGATAATGAGGTGCCATCAAGCCTTGCTCTTCTGTCCTGGAGACTTAATTCTCTGATCTGGTGAAGAATTCAGAAAAAATCAGGACTGTGGATTTCAATGTAATAAAATGGTCTCTTAAAGTTCACTTCCTACTTGGAATCATGATTAAGAGATCCCTTGGGAACGCAAAAGAAAATTTACTTATTGACTCTATTGATAGAATGAAAACTAAAGTACCAGCTGAATAGAAAACAGAAAAGCCTGGGCTTTCTACTAAAGGGATAAAATGTTATGCCCCTTTGTATCTTCCCTTTTCTTTGTATCGGATGAATAACATACAATATTCTCTAGGATATTTCTTAACATTTGTACACAATTCCTGAATGACAAAACTATGATCAGCAAAAAGGCACATTCCTGGTTTTACTGTACTTCAAATTTGATGGTTTTAGTAGAAATATGGGAATATGGAATCTTTAGAAAAATCAAATATCTTATGTTTGCAAGAATTTTCTTGAATCTGTTGCATTTCTTGTTCCAATGAGAGCTTTACTTTTAGGGTTTGGTATTCCATCATAATCAACTGTTGTTTGCTGTATTTATTCTGACATGTAGACTGTAATACACATCAATGGGCACAGAAAACAGAACCTATCTCACTGAGTTCATCCTGCTGGGGCTCTCTTCAGATCAACATACCCAGGTGCTGCTGTTTGTGCTCTTTCTCATCGTTTAACCTGCTCACTGTGCTCGGGAATCTGCTCATCATGATGCTGCTCCAACTTGACTCTCGACTTCATACACCCATGTACTTTTTCCTTAAAAATCTGTCACTTGTTGATCTCTGTTTCTCTACGGTGATTGTTCACCAGATGCTATTCCATTTGTTGGCCAAGAAAAAAGCAATTTCCTTTACTAGATGCTCAATGCAGATGGCTTTTTTCCTTTTGGTTGGATGTACAGAGAGTTCACTCCTAGCAGTGATGTCCTATGACCGCTACATAGCTATCTGCAAGCCCCTGCACTACTCCACCCTCATGACCCAGAGGATTTGTTTCCAGCTTGTCCTTGGGTCCTGGGCCTGTGGAGCACTGGTGTCTGTAGTAGACAGCACCTTTACTTTATATCTCCCCTATATGGACCAGAATGTAATTAATCATTATTTTTGTGAACCTCCTGCCCTACTGAAGCTGGCTTCAGAAGAAACCTACACTGCTGAGCTGGCCATCTTTGCCATGGGTGTGCTAATCCTCCTCGGTCCTGTGTCCCTCATCCTCTTCTCCTACTGGAACGTTATTTCCACGGTAGTGTGGATGAAGTCAGGGGAGGGGAGGCTCAAGGTCTTTTCTACCTGTGGTCCTCATCTCATTGTTGTTGTCTTGATCTATAGCTCAACAATATATACCTATATGCAACCTAACACCAAGAAAAAAAATAAATGGGATAAGATGGTCTCTGTGTTCTACTCAGTGATAACATCCATGCTAAACCCGTTCATTTACAGTCTACGGAACAAGGATGTGAAGGAGGCATTTAAGAAAGTATTTGGAAGATAGATCCTCTCAGAAGGAGAACCTTTATATTGATATAAAAATCAGAAAAATGAAACACTTTCCAAGCTGTTCAATACCATTAGCAGATTCCTCTACCACCCTAGTCTGAGGCACCAATAATGCTAATATTAAAAACTTAGTATCTTAGGAATGTTTTCAGGTTTGTGTAATGCTATCTTATTCAAGCTTAGTCGCTGTTCTCCAATGTTCCTACCTCGTGACAACATTTTGCTAATATATAAACAGAGATTGAAAACCCTCAAAATAATTGGATTTTTAACTGGTTAATTATTGCCAATCCATTTTCACCCAGGACACAGTTTTTTTTTCTCTAATCTCTGCAATTATTTGCAGAATTATCCCATGCCAGCATAATTTCTAGCCATCTACAAATTCTGCAATCCTATCTAATGTCATTGTGCTGGGCTCCACAATTTATTATGACAAAATGTCAATTTTTTTTTAATCATGAAACTCTGATATTGGATTTTTTTTTTTTCATTGTGCTAGAGAGGCCCCAAAGCTACTATTCAGCCACTTATGAGGGAGATGTTGTCAGGGGCAACACAGAATCTTATGCCACATTCCACATTGGTTAACGGACACTGCTTCCCTCCGAGGACAATTGCTGGTTTGAAGGAGCTAGAATTGAGAACCAATCTGCCCATATCAGAAGTCTCATGTCAGACCCCCCTGGGACATAATGCTCCACTCATACATGCTCACCCCTCTTGGGTTTGATTGCGCCAGTACTCATTAACTTCTCCTTTATGGAGGCAGAAGATAATAACTGAAAAGAGAAGCAATCCTCAAAATGGAGAATGCTTTTTTGGATGAAATAGACCTTTCAGTTTTTCCTGTCTCTGCTATAACCCTTTGTTGTTGCAAAAGCACCACCCTGATGTACACATTGATTCTCACCAGTGTTCACAGAGCATGATTCTCATTTGGAATATGGTACCCTGCTGTCTCTTACCCATCCTCAACTAAAGGCTAACTCCAGGCATTAGGTGAAACTTAATACCCTTCTATGACCCAACAATTCATTGGCTTGTAGGAATATTCCCAGTTCCTGCTTCACTCTCCAGAGGACCATTTATGTTAAGCGGTGAAATACTGGAACCAGAGAATCCCATGACTTGGGGTGAAACTGAACATGTGATAGACATCAGAGACCAGGCAGACTGCACCAGAAGGGACACAGAGGAGATTCATACTTCACTGAAACAAGAAGTGGGGGAGAGACAGATGCACCTACAGGCTGTGGTCAGGGGAAGGAGACCATGGTATAAATTGTGGTACCACTACATGGCCAGCCTCTGCTGGTGGCCCTGGGGAAAGCAGAGAACTGTGTGGAGGCAAACATGCTTGATGGTGGGGAAATGCATGTGGAGGAGTAGGCGTGCTCCCCACGGACTGGGACTCAGAGAGTAGAACAAGGACATTTCTTTTAAATTTCTCTTTTGGATTTACAATCAAACAATCCTACAATCAAACAAAAGTATGTTTCTTCCTCTTGTGGAATAAGAAAAATGGAAGAGCAAATTCTGCTTCCACTTTTCTGAGATGTCATTTTCCTACTGGTACCCACCATTAAGTGATAAGTCCCTGGATAGCTCACTGATTGCCAGAGGGCTCAATCCACTCCACCAATAATAATAAAGACATATCCACAAACTCTTCATCTTGTCCCAAGCAATTTTAATCTGTAGTCATCTGATTTTGTATTTCATCCATTATTAATTCCATCAATATAGGAACCAGTTATTTGAATAGTGATCTATGGTATTTTAATCATAGTTCTTCCAAACAGTAATCATAACCCTACAGAGGCATAGCTATAGATTTTTCATGTAATATTGAGACAGACAGTAAGATAAGCACCAGGTAGATTTGAGATAGAAGGAAAGACAAGCGCCTGATGGTTTCCCACTGGCAGGAGACCCCCCAACTACATTCGATATCAGAGGGAAGCATCTGCTGACCAAAGAGAAAGAAAAGAAAGAGAAAAAAGCAACAGCTATAAATGAAGCAACAGACTTCAGCAGTGCCTGACTCAGCAGGAAGCCAGAAACCCACTGCTGAGGGGAGCAGCGGGCAAGTCAGGAGAGGTCTGCTGAGCCATGTGAGTTGCTCCCTGGCTGGCCGGGGATCGAACTTGTGCCACAGAGGCTGCGGACCGCTTCATAGTGCTGTGTTCAAACCCTTGTGCCACCAAGGAGACCCAATCACAAGGATTATACACCGTAATCAAGTGAGATTTTTCCCAGGGATGCAAGGATATTTTATTTTATTTTACTTTTAAAGATTTATTTATTTATACAAGCTCTGGGGCACAAGCCAAAGGCATGGGAGGGTGAGAGAATCCACCAGAGACAGAGCGGGGAGCAGAACAGGCAGAAGGACCAAAATACACTGTTGAGGGGAGCAGCGGGGGAGTCAGGAGAGGTCTGCTGTGCCACGTGGAATTCTTGCTGGCCAGCCGGGATCGAACCCACGCTGCAGAGCTTGACAGCGCTGCACTCAACTGCCCACACCACCAGGGAGGCCCCTCCCTTAATAATTCTTAACTTCTTTACAACACTGAGGACCAATGGTTCCTTACTGATAGCGGTGGTACCTGAACGTTAGTGTAGATAATGGATCCGATAATGTAATTTAACTTGATTAACCTCTGAGCATAAGAAATTGGGTAATTTCCTCAAACTCTATGTCTACCTTGACAGACACGCTAGCCATATCATGACTTACTAGCTCTTCCAAATGAGAAGTCTTGATTCCTCCTTGATTTTATCCTTTATCCTTTCCCTTCAAGAAACAGATTACCAAATCCTATAAATGCTACAGAAAAGTCTTACAAACATTAACAATTACGAAATTAGATTTTATGTAACTTGAAAAATATGAAGGTAAAAATTTCAAAAAAAGTTAAAATTTTCTTTTCAGTATACTGAAATATTGAAAGCATATTTTTATCAAAATTACTTGAATAAAGACAAAGGAAAAGGATGTACCAGAGAGCACTTTGAAGGATAAATTAGTCTCATTCCTCTGAGTAGTTCTAAGAACACAAAATACTAACTACACATTTCATATGAGAATGAGTGACTTGAAAGAAAATTTAAAATATTATTAAAAACTTGATAAATTCTTACATATTTAAAGCAGAAAGAATGAAGTTTAGATTCAATAGAAATTTACAACAGAAAAAAAAACATTTACTTATAAAGTTAATTTTCTTCTAAAACTGAATTTAAATTTTTCTTTTTTACTTTAAAATTAGCAAGTCAAATGCTGTTTCCAAGTGAGAGCATATTATTCCATCAAAACCCACAGAAACATTTATTATTAACTTCCTTTATAATAAAATTATTTAAAAACAAAAAACAAAAAAAAAAGAATATGGAAAGAATTAACTAATGAAATTTTTAAATGGCTTCTAAGCAATTAATTAATAACTATAAAAGTGTTTACAATTAAAAAGTGGATGGGGAAAATTAGAGAACAATATGGTAGGGGGCTTACAATTTTTCTTGTGAAAAGAAAAATAAAGCATTGTTGAGAAACTTTAACATTGTGTTTTCATCCTATCAGAAGTATCCCTGAGACAAACATGGCTCTGTCCCTGTGCTTAGCAAATGTTTCCAACACTTGATATTAAAGAATTTTTTTCCAAACCTGTTATTTTTTTAGGATCTGTTGATATTATTTAAAAGTGGCCACTACATCAGCAAATAAATGAAAGTAAACAATTACAGCAGTGATATACTGAGTGTAGTTGCAAATATTCACTTTTTTAAGATTTCAAAGGAAAAGATTCTCAGCTGTCTGTCTTGATACTCTTGGTTCTGCTCCCAAGGGAGAGAAGGGATGACACGGATGAATCCTGGGGTCTTTTCAGGACCAGAGCCCATAGAATCTTGGCTTTCTTTTGGTAATTAGAAGGATTTAAAGAATTCGATTTATTGTTGTAAGACAAATCCAACATGTCCCATGGTATCTCATTGTGTGTGGAGATAAGAGAGACCCAGAGAGACCCAGAGAGACCCTAGGGAGGTCCCGTTTGCATAATTTCTCAGGGCCTCATCATGCAAGAATCTTCTCACAAAAGGATTCGATTCAGTGTTAGTTCTCAAAAAACTAGTGCTTGACTCCTCCAACAATACAGTCGGAGTTTGAAATGGAGCCCACTGCAAAGGTGAGTTGGTGCTCAGATGTGAGGGCAAAGGACTGATGACCACCTGCAACTCATAGCAGACTCTGGATCTGCAGCGTGGATCCCTGGATTTCACTCTACCATCCTCAGTGTGCAGTCCCTCAACTGGACTTCCTAATCCCAAGCCCCCAGGTAAGAAGGAGGAAAATACTGAATAGCCAAGACTCTCCAGCAGCAACACTCTGGAGTCTGTTCTGGGAGAAGGGGCCATTCTTACAGGCACACTCTACAGTCTATTTGGGAAAGGAACTTTTCTTTTCTATCTTCTCTAGATGCCTGGGTCTTAGAAACCTACCTACCTGCTTCCTTCTGAGGTGTTCCTTTGTGTGCTGAAAGGTCAAAGAAACGAAAAGATCTATTGTCTCTCCAACTGGTGACCCCTTTTCAACTCCCAGAACTTCATGTACTCAGACCTTTCATTCCTGTACCCTATTTCTCTTTCCCTGCTGTGATGGTGACACCCACCAGGGTCACAGGGCTTCACTCAGATGGAAGAGAGACAGTCCTGCAATTTACCACCTGTTGTCAGGGAGGTAGAAAATACTGAGAGCTCAGTGTGTTCTAACATTGTTTGTGGGTTACTCCTGACCCTGGGACTATAGTGTTCAAGTTGCTATTACATGACTTATACATTCCAGGGGCTAAGAATGAAAAAGTGAAAGGGCTACATATTGAGTTCTGTTCCAGTTCCCCTGAAGATAGAATAATCACCACTGATGCTGTCCACAGCCCAGGTGATCATGCATGATTCCTCACGAGCTCTCCCCACCCTGGCACTACAGGAAAC